TGCCTCTCTCTCTATCGCGCGCTCTCTCTCCCTCTCTCTCTCTATTGCTAGTTAGATGAAAATGAAAAATCCTGTGTACATGCTTTCCCCAAAAATGAATGAGGAAAAAAAAATAGTTGTACAGCTCTGCCTAGGCGCGCACTATCATGCCTAAAATGCCCACATAAGCTAGACGGATTGGTTGCTTTAAGTGCTCCCCGTATTGGCACACACAGATACACACACATACACACACGCACACGTACTGGCACACACACACACAGCAATGTTTGCGTACCGATGAAAAATGGTTGAAAAAAGTTTGAAAAAAAACGTTGTATGATTTTTCTTCGCCAATATTTTGTAACAGAGACGCAGCATTAAGCGAACAGCAGATGCCGACATTTGTAACACAAAAATGCATACAGCTCGACGAAAGAGAGAAACACACAGAGAGACAGAGAGAGAGAGGGAGGGAGCGAGATACACAACAACAAAACTCAATTTGTTTCTTTTTGTATTTCTTATTGCTGGCCTCCACCGGTTCCCCCCGTTCTAAATGCACATGAGCGCACTGTTGTTGTTGTTGCTATTGTTGCACTCGCCGGAGCCAATTGGGAGACGCACTTGCGTTTGTATTGGTGCGCAATGCAGCTCTTTACGTTCTCTCCCTCTCTCTCCGCTCACGAAACACAGTAAAATAATGCTGAAGCACAATGCAGTTGAATGTTGTTAACAGTGGCGTCAAACAGCATCAATTGTACAATTGTGTTTTATTTAATAACATTTAGTCGCTGCAAGTATGTGATTGTAATAATATTATAATAAATAAATACATTACAAATATATATTGAAATATAGCATATTAGTCGCATTTCTTAAAATACATATCCAACTCCGTATCACTGTGCCTGCGCGAATGCACTCGACGTCACACACACAAACACAAACACAATGCTCTGGGAGAGGGAGCTGCATTTTTGTGGATCCGAAATGCACTTTTTGGCTGTGCACCCACACACACACACACACACAAGCCCACTCACATAAGGCAAGCGGAGCAAGCAACTCGCACACACACACAACGAAAGAGACGAAGGCATTGACAACGGCGTGCAGCAAATTGAGCGCAATGACGTTGCCAGCCCCCATCGGAGAGATGCTCACATTAAATGCCATTCACTGCACATTCGCTGCGCTGCGTTCGGCTGCGCTGCGATGCTGCCCGTCAGGTAGGCGGGCGCGCACCTGCCCCGCCCAACTCTCTCACTCTCTTTCACATACACACTCACACACACATATATGTAAACCAAAATAAAAAATTTATTTGTGTTTGTGTGTTTTTTTTCTCAGACGTTTGCTCTTTTACCCTGTTTTCTGGCATACAACATTTCAAAATGGGAGTAACAGTGCTCCAGTCAAACAATCCAGTTTTAATTATAATATTTTACAATTTTGAAATTTTACATTTTCAATTTAACTTCATAATAACCTACTCCATTTTGAACTTGCAAAAGCAAAAACAAACGTTATTATAAAATTCTACATAAATATCTATTAAAGAGAAATGCTTCGATGTCGATTAAATTTCTGTACATTTGAGACACAAAAAGCTAAAAATATATGACTATGATTTACAAAATTACGTATACAAAAAATCAAACCCGATTGCAAACGGTTTTTCCAAGAGAAGTTTTTCTAATTTCTGAATTGGTATGTATAATTTCGAAACATTCTTCATCACTGGGTATCACACAGTCTATCACAGTAGTTTTGTATAGCAAAATGACTTGTTGTTTTTGCACAAAGTGCAACGCGTCTACGCGTTCTGGGCTCCTTTTCCCAATGTAACACAACCATGCACCATGCGAGCGACGTCTGCCCCAGGGCTGGCATCAAGCATTACGACGACGACAACAACGTGAAATTACGTGGATGTGGTTGTGATTGTGGATGTGGTTTACATTGTAATATGGTGGATGGCAAACGGCGCTTTACAGTTTTTTTTTTTACAGCAAGCACAACCACAACGAGCAAGTGAGGCCCAGTTACAACACATGTTTTTTTTTATTTTTATTTATTTTTTAAGTTGCTCCTTTTTTACGGCTGTCGCGGGAGTCACGTGAAACTCAGCTCGTCGCCTGGTCTGGCCTAGCCTGGACTGGGGGGTTCTTTGAGCGCGCCATCATCATCGTCGCCGTCGCCAGCTGCGTGCACAAAAGTAACAAAATGTACTGAATGTCAACAGGCTCTCAGCACAGAGCAGAGCGTCGATTTTACATTACAATCGCTGTACAATCGACGGCTCCGGTCTCTGTACACACTCATTGCGCGCTCGCTGACTAACACCGCCCTCCCCACCCCACAGCCTTTGCACTCATCACTCTGTGTCTGTGTGTGAGCGTGTCTGTCAGTGTGTATGTGTGTGTGTGTGTGAGTGAGTGCGCCGCGTTACTTGCGCGAGCTCCTCCACTGTCCACTCCCCGCCGCAAGGCACACAGATAAGTAATAATGGCTCCACTCTCCAGTCTGGCGCAGTCGACGTCAGCGCAACGCAACGCAACGCAATTTGCCTTTTATTTTAATTTTTTTGTTTTCTTTTTTTTTTTTGCTTTTTCTCGTTTTGTGCTTTGTTCTTTTTGTGCCTTTGGCGGGGGTCTTTGCTCTCGTTTGCTGTATCACTCTTTGAAGCTGCTGCTCATCGTTTGTGCTTGAGCACGTGAGTGTGAGCTGTACACACCTCCTATCCCACCAACCTTCACACACACACACACACACAAACAACACACACACACACACACAAACAACACACACACACACACACAAACAACACACACACAAACAACACACACACACACACACAAACAACACACACACACTCACACACGTTCAAGTGCAGTCAACAGTAAAATTGCAAATTGCATTGCACAATCTTGTAATCAGTCGGCGTTTGGCTGACAGCACAGTAACTAAAGAGGCGCGTGTGCTGTAATGAAAATGTATTGTACAGTTATTATAGCACATTATGGTGTTTTGTAGTTACATGTGTGCTTTGACAAGAGATTTTCAGACCAATGTTTAGAAGGAGGTAACCAAGTCCTCTGCCTTCCAAGCTTTGGTAGTTCGAGCTCTAAAACTGCGTGGCATGTACCAACTGTAACTAATAAGCCCTAAAGTATGCCGGAAAAAATTTAAAAAATATGCAATTAAATATGCACGAAAGATTTATCAAATATTTATGGCTATTGTCTTTTAATAGAGAATTTGACTGCTTTGACCTAATGATATTAGTTTGTAATCAAACTTTATTTCTTTAATTCGATTTTGTATTAAATTATTTCTGACGACTCAACACTTTGTAGAAAATTGGGAGCAGCATCATCTGCATTTTGATTAAAAGCACTGAAATAAAAATTGAAAACTTGGGCTTTATTGTTATCGAAAATCGATTTGTACTGTACTGATTTGTATGTGTTTTATTTTTATTTTTATTTTATATTTTTATTTATACAACATTTTAGCGCTACATAGACAAGAAAGAGGAAGAAATGTCATGATAATAATATTTAAAATCTAATAGAGGAGCTATAATGTTGGTGCTATGACCAAAATTGATAAAATTGATAATCGTAATTCGATAAAAACCACATATCTCCCACAATTGTAAATCTATAGCCACCTGTGGTTACTATTTGGTTGGTAGGTTGTTAGCGATGTCCGTCAAAGACATATTAACGGAAACTCCCTTTAAATATCGAACTAAATTTAAAATTGTATTGTGACATTTAATGCTACCTGGGGGTGTAAATCGATACAAGTATACAACAAATTTTAAATGAAAATTACTAGTAACACCCTTTGATGGGTCCCAAAAATCAGAAGAGCCAATATGGGTAATTGGGTAATTGTCAAAATTGGAATATATATTTCTAGGAACCCCCGTCTAAGCCTGGTAAAAATATTTCTTGGCCCCACCCGAGCGGGGTATGCAAATGCAAAAGCCTATGGCCAAGGAAATTTTACAAATTGAGTTACCTGGCATTTCAATGACTATTCAATGGTAGAGGCACACACGTTTGAAAGATATCGCTAAGAAGGGAAACTACGATTTTTTTCCCATTTATTTATTAAAAATATTAGTCGATGCTAATATAAGTTATTTAGGTTTTTTTCGCAGTCGCAGCCACATCCTCAAAATAAGCAAACGACCAATCTATTGGAACACGCACCGCCCCTTCCAAAAGAGGCTGAGGCTCCAACATAATTTGAAACTGCCCATTCTCCGCAGACACCGCCAACCCACTCACGGCAGGCACAGCTGACCCACCCCGCATACCAGGCAACGAAGGGATGAGGCAAGTCACCATGGCCAATCCAATGGCAATTAGCATGTGCAACGGCAGTATACCCAATAACCCGATCAAGACGGACGAACAACCCAACGACGTCAATATCGATGTAAGCGATGTTAAGCAGTTCAGCGGAAGTGGCTGAGCATCTCCCGATGGAAGATAGACAGCAAGGATCGCCAGAAGAGCACAGCTCAAAATTACGGTTTGGGTTCTCATCTTAGTTGAAGTGTTATTTGGTAACGTTGTTAACTCGAGAATGATATGAATTGATCGAGTTGGGTGCGCTTTTATAGCATCTCAAATTTTGAAAAACACTCGCAACGGTTTGAGTAAATCCACACAGATGTTAACGGTGTTTCTTTGTCAAACATTGTATTTTTAAAGGAGTTTTAAAGATGGCGTTGAATTATTTATTTTTGTGCATTTTTTTATTTAGTCAGTTGCATTGTTATATATTGTATTGTATATTGTTACAAACATAAATAATCGACATATAAACATTTAAAACAATATTCAGTTCATTGAAATATATAAATATTTAATATTCCATCATTATTTGAATTAAAAAATAAACAATTATGTTTTTAACTTCGTGCACATTCCAGTAAAATATATTAATATTTAACATTCAACTTTTTAATTGAATTTCAAAAATAAACAAACATGTTTTCAACTTCGAACATCTGTTCTATAAAATTAGTCAGCTTATAGCCTAAATTATAAAAAAGTTCGCTACAAATTTGTATTATGTTTGGTTTTAAATTAATTATTAAATTGCAATTATCCATCTCCAGAGTTATCTAATCTAATTACTATGCAGGTCCAGGACAATATGTAAATCTTTTGGATACCTCCCCCTATATGTATATGTATGTAGTTGGGTATGTACTTATATGTATGTGCCCAAAAATTCCAAATGTTGATGACATCAATGATATCCTGATTCCTGGTGCTCGCCTCTCTCATCTGGCTGCCATTGCGTCGTCGACAAGGTAGCGTTGTCGCCTCATGGCACAGCACCGTTAACATGGCATCCACCACCTCGAAGGGATTCGTTACGCCACCCTCAGTGGGCGCATGTTGCAGCAGCGTGCCACCAATCCATTGCATCACGGCCAGCACATCGGGACGTTGCAACAACTGACGATCCGCCAGCTGCATCAGCCGCTTCCTCAACACCATCGACTGGGCGCAGCTGCAGTCACCAAAGCAGAAGGCCATACTATGCGATTCCCTGACATTCAGCGCCAACCACTTCTCCGCCGGCAACAGGGCAAAGAGCAACGCCAGCGCCGATTGAAAGGTGCGACGATAGCGCGTCGTGAACACAACCACCTCATCCGAAGTGAGCAGCGTATGTGGCGTCGTCTCCAGTGCTCCTCCTGTCGCCCACGTGCAACAGTTGAGCAATCCCTCTGCAAATTGAGGATGTGTGTTGAACTTAAGAAATATTTCTGCATACACCCATGGTTAAATCAATAAGTGCACTAGCTTGCCTAAATGTGATGAGAATGTACCCTGAATCCAGAGTGAGTTTGGTTCTGATATATTGGTAAATAAAAATAAAGTTTAGACAAGCACACCTCATTCGAGTGATTGTTCCTATGGCAGCCACATGATATAGTGTTGCGATATGTGCTTGCTATAGCGAAAGTTCGGATATATTCCAAGTTCCAAGTGATCAGGATAGCTTAAGGAATGATGCTGATCGAGACGATATATATATAGTTAATGGGGTTCAGAGATTTGTTCTACCCCTTCAAGGATATAAATATAAGGATGATTTCTAGTTCAGGCCACTTACTTGTAGGTGAGTTGGCCCAAAGGACAGCCGCGGTCCGTGGCTGGTAGTAGGGGAAATCCGTGAAGCGGACCCACCTTGCCCCAGTACATGTGATTCGAGCCCGATGCGGAACTGCTGGAGTTGTGCAAAATGCTGCGATATCTGCCAGAAAAATGTTTCAAAATCACAGAGTTGGCCGTCGAATGCATCTTTACCTATTGACCAAACTGTCGCCATCGGCATTCACACCACAATTGATGCCACCAGCATGGACATGCGACATTGCACCACGATCGCCATGCCTGATGACGAGCAGGACCCCTGCAGCTTCCAGCTCTCCAGCATGCCACCATCATCCACTCGAGTGAGCTATGCCAACGGCGCACAGCGTTCCCGATACTGTGCGAAACGCTGAGCACTCGACGCGAATTCACTTACATCCGAGTTGGCTGTGCCCGTATTGAGATTATAGTTGCCACCGCCGCTGCCCGGACTGGCATTGTGTTCAGCATTGCCCATGTAGCGATACATTCCTGCCACAGAAATAAACATTTGGGCTGTACTTGATAGATGTGGAAGATATGCTCCATATTGATCAACTCACCAGCTATAAGTAGAAATATCCAAATGCTGAGGAACATGTAGCAATAGAAGGTCCGTGGTTGCGTCGTGAAACGCGTCAGTTCCTTGAGCAGCAGCTTCATTATTACATCCGGGCAGCGATAACGCCCACATGTATATATAAATATATTTGAATATATATTTTTCCTGTTGCGGCACACTGGAGGGTCTGGTAGAAAATAGTGTACAACAGGCTAGTGAAAAAGCGCTCTTAGATGCACAATATGGCTTCCGAAAAGGTCGGTCTATAGAGGAAGTAATCCAAGCCGTTGTGGATACCGCAAAAAAAATCCATAGAAGGAACCCGATGGAGGTGGGGTGATAAGGAGTGCTGCGCTGTTATAACGTTGGACATATGAAATGCCCTCAACTCAGCGAGCTGGACGCATATTATGAGAGCAACAGACAGTATAGGAATCCCAGATTACATATCTAGCATAGGCTCGAGCTACCTTTCGGAAAGGGTCCTGCAATCTGACACAACATCACGGAAGGCGTACCTCAGGGGTCGGTCCTAGGGCCACTCCTGTGGAACGTAATGTATGATGGAGTGCTTAGACTACAACTACCGATCTGGCGCTAGTAGTTGTTGCAAAGGAAATAGAGCAGGTCGAGGCGACAGCGAACGATGCTGTGTAAAAAATAGCCCAGTGGATGAAAGATGCGAATCTGGAACTCGCAGGCTATAAAACGGAGACAGTACTCATCACGAGCTGCAAAGTGATAGAGTAGATAAAAGTGAAAGTCAACGACGTCACTATAACCTCGAAGGAGTCCACAAAGTACCTCGGAGTCCTACTCGACAACAGGCCCACGTAGAGTATGTCTGAGCACGCTGCGGATGATCTCGGGCCCCCGCACAGTTTCGGATGAAGCGGCAGTAGTCCTAGCTGGAATGTTTCCACTCGCCATTCCGGCCAGTGAGATGAAGCTCATGAGAGCAAAGAGAAACTCCCAGGAGGGCACAGTTTCGATAGCCGAGATTAGACGATCGGCGGGGGAAAGGTGGATTGCCGCATGTCAGACGAGGTGGGACGCAGCCTGCAGAGGAAAGTAGACCCATCGGCTGATCCCACATATAGAGGAATGGAGTATCCAGAGGAAAGCAGGTGAGTTGGATTACCATCTAACCCAATTTCTTTCAGGTCACGGAGGAGTGCCCGACTTGACCATCGCGGAAGCATTATCCTGAACACGTGATGTACCATTGCGTGAGGTACAGGGACACTACAGTGTCAGAGTTCTTGGTACGGTACGCTACATGACGGAATCTCCGTCACACGGGAAAGATGTCCGCCAGCTCATCGCGGGTGTGTGTGTGGGGTGAGTTTAGTACGTATGCATTGACGTTGTCTTTGAATCGTGCATGCAGTTGCCCCGGGCCTTCTGCATCTGTATATAGGAGATTCTCACCAGTGCGTAACCAAAAAAAAACAAAAACACACACACACAAACAACACACACACACGTTCAAGTGCAGTCAACAGTAAAATTGCAAAATGCACTGCACAATCTTGTAGTCAGTCGCCGTAACTAATAAGCCCTTAAAGTATGCCGGAAAAAATTTAAAAAATATGCAATTAAATATGCACGAAAGATTTATCACATATTTATGGCTATTGTCTTTTAATAGAGAATTTGACTGCGATATTAATTTGTAATCAAACTTTATTTCTTTAATTCGATTTCGTCTTAAATTATTTCTGACGACTCAACACTTTGTAGAAAATTGGGAGCAGCATCATCTGCATTTTGATTAAAAGCACTGAAATAAAAATTGAAAACTTGGGCTTTATTGTTATCGAAAATCGATTTGTACTGTACTGATTTGTATGTGTTTTATTTTTATTTTTATTTTATATTTTTATTTATACAACATTTTAGCGTTACATAGACAAGAAAGAGGAAGAAATGTCATGATAATAATATTTAAAATCTAATAGAGGAGCTATAATGTTGGTGCTATGACCAAAATTGATAAAATTGATAATCGTAAATCGATAAATACCACATATCTTCCACAATTTAAAATCTATAGCCACCTGTGGTTGGTAGGTTGTTAGCGATGTCCGTCAAAGACATATTAACGGAAACTCCCTTTAAATATCGATTTAAATTTAAAATTGTATGGTTACATTTAATGCTACCTGGGGGTGTAAATCGATACAAGCATACAACAAATTTTAAATGAAAATTACTAGTAACACCCTTTGATGGGTCCCAAAAATCAGAAGAGCCAATATGGGTAATTGTCAAAATTGGAATATATATTTCTAGGAACCCCCGTCTAAGCCTGGTAAAAATATTTCTTGGCCCCACCCGAGCAGGGTATGCAAATGCAAAAGCCTATGGCCAAGGAAATTTTACAAATTGAGTTACCTGGCATTTCAATGACTATTCAATGGTAGAGGCACACACCACCCACTGAATTTCTTTGTTAGTATAACTCTGATATCAGAGTGTTCCGCAGTCGGTAACGCCTGTGTAACTGTAATGTTTTTGTTTTTTGATTCCAACTGTAGAACAAATGAAGTTTGAAAGATATCGATAAGAAGAGAAACTAAAAATTTTTTTGAATGTTCATATTTATTTATTGAAAATATTAGTCGATGCTAATATAAGTTATTTACGTTATACGCCCAATAAAGATGGAGTCGTTGCCGCTCCAATCGCAGGCACACCCTGTATACCAGGCAACGCAGGGATGCAGGAAGACAGTATGGCCAATCCAATGGAAATTAGTACGTTCAACGGCAGTATACCCAATAACCCGATCAAGACGGACGAACAACCCAACGACGTCAATATCGATGTAAGCGATGTTAAGCAGTTCAGCGGAAGTGGCTGAGCATCTCCCGATGGAAGATAGACAGCAAGGATCGCCAGAAGAGCACAGCTCAAAATTACGGTTTGGGTTCTCATCTTAGTGGAAGTGTTATTTGGTAACGTTGTTAACTCGAGAATGATATGAATTGATCGAGTTGGGTGCGCTTTTATAGCATCTCAAATTTTGAAAAACACTCGCAACGGTTTGGGTAAATCCACACAGATGTTAACGGTGTTTCTTTGTCAAACATTGTATTTTTAAAGGAGTTTTAAAGATGGCGTTGAATTATTTATTTTTGTGCATTTTTTTATTTAGTCAGTTGCATTGTTATATATTGTATTGTATATTGTTACAAACATAAATAATCGACATATAAACATTTAAAACAATATTCAGTTCATTGAAATATATAAATATTTAATATTCCATCATTATTTGAATTAATAAATAAACAATTATGTTTTTAACTTCGAACATCTGTTCTATAAAATTAGTCATCATATAGCCTAAATTATAAAAAAGTTCGCTACAAATTTGTATTATGTTTGGTTTTAAATTAATTATTAAAGTGCAATTATCCATCTACAGAGTTATCTAATCTAATTACTATGCAGGTCCAGGAAAATATGTAAATCTTTTGGATACCTCCCCCTATATGTATATGTATATGTATATGTATGTAGTTGGGTATGTACTTATATGTATGTGCCCAAACATTCCATAAAATCAAGCTGGATTATATGAAAAATGTTATTTTGTATATGCTTGACAGGCTCATGGCTTACGCCTTAGCTATTACTTATCACAGTTGACAAAGTGCGTGGAGAGAGATGGAACTGTTAGAAGTCGTTCGCCTTGGCTGGGCTGCCAATAGATGCTGCGCAGGCCTCTTTGAAATTGGTCGCATTCAATGGGCCAAAGTAGTCCTCGTGCAGGAACCGAATGATATTCTCAATGGGGCACAGGTCGGCCTTGTTGCCGCGACTATCGCGCGTCACACGCAAACTCTTGCCACCCTCACAGAACTCGATCTGCTGGGTGACATCCCGGCCATTGTGGACGACAGGAAAATAATAATCCGTATGCGCCTCGCTGCGATAGACTTCAAAGGCCAACCTCGAGGCATATGGAATGGTTTGTCCCTGTGCATTTTGTATGCCCAGTGCTGCGGTCAGATATTGCATGGTGCAATCGTGTCCGGAATAGAGCACAAATTTCGTCCGATCACCGGAGATCATCTTCAGCATATAGCCAACAATATGTCGGATCATGCCATAGGCGCGCAGTAAACCGGAACGCTTGTAGTAGACATGACGAGCGCTGCGCAGCGAGAGCTCATCGGCAAAGGACATGAGTGCATCCACTTGCAATGCCTCCACACATCCATCCGACTCCTGCTGCTGTTCATCATTGGATGGAGCAATTCCATCCGCTGCGGGTGCAGCAGCACCAGCACCAGCAGCATCATCAGCAGCAGCAGCAGCCGCTTGTGGCGCATTGCCAGCCGTCTCATCCTGATCAATGTTGATGACATCAATGAGATCCTGATTCCTGGTGCTCGCCTCTCTCATCTGGCTGCCATTGCGTCGTCGACAAGGTAGCGTTGTCGCCTCATGGCACAGCACCGTTAACATGGCATCCACCACCTCGAAGGGATTCGTTACGCCACCCTCAGCAGCGTGCCACCAATCCATTGCATCACGGCCAGCACATCGGGACGTTGCAACAACTGACGATCCGCCAGCTGCATCAGCCGCTTCCTCAACACCATCGACTGGGCGCAGCTGCAGTCACCAAAGCAGAAGGCCATACTATGCGATTCCCTGACATTCAGCGCCAACCACTTCTCCGCCGGCAACAGGGCAA